TCATAGATGTTTTTTTCTTATTTTGGGCTCATAAGCAAATGACATTAATTAATCAATTAAGGTATGATTGTTTGTATCATTTATCCTAAATATATTCATCACTTTTCATATTGTTCCAATGGTCTGCAACCTCTGGTAATCACCCCAGAGTAGAATTTGAAGCCATATTTTATAAGGCTCCAAAATTATCTTTAACCTTTCTTAGTTTCTTTCCTTCACCATTCAATTCCTCCTTTCCATTTTTTTTTACTAGTTACTTAATATCCTAATAGCAGGTGTTGCGTCCTCCCGTGCCAGCCAATGGGCGGGGCCGGAGCAGCCGTTACCTGATTGGCTGCGGCGCACCCGCCGGCGGGCGGGAGAACAGCCGATCACCCATTGGCTGGCCAACTGACAGCTCGGGTATATAAAGAGCTGTCAGTTGGTCAGGGTCTGTCCGCGTTCTGAATCCTCTCTGTAGCTAGACCTGTTATAATAAATCTGTTAGAAACCGTTACTGTTACAACGACGACTCTAGCCTCGTTACTTAAAAGTATAAGATCGCCCCCTTGCCAGCATGGAAAGTGCAAAAGCCGCATTGCCCTGCCTGTAAAACCAGCCAGCTTTCCCATCACCCATGCCATCCTCTGCCCTCAGATGGCCTTCTGCTCATTAGAGAGCCCCCCCTCTTGTGAACAAGGAGGACGGGACCGCTGATTGGCTGCTTAGGGGACTCCGCAACCCCTGCCTCTTTTCTGGCAGCCCTCTTCAAAGGCTCTTCGCCCCATCCTCCAGCAGCCCTTGGCCAGAGTTCTTGTCGCCTTGTTTCTTAATTAAGGAGCTGTCATTATTATTATGGAGTTTTCCCCCCCCCCCTTTTCTTTTCCTTTCCTTTCCCATCTTATTAGATGCTCCAAGTCGCCTGGGAGCGAAACGAAGAACGGTTGAGTCTCTTCTTCTTTTTGTTCCCAAATGCATCCGCTCTCCAAGGGTTGAGATGGAAAAGGCACGCCACTTAAGGTTCAAAACCGAGCGTGCAGCAGCTTCTTCTCTTTGGAAAGACTAATCGAAAGAACATTTCTTGCAAAAGTTATTATTATTTTTTTCTCTTTCTCGTTTCTGGCCTTGTTGTTTCTTAATACTTTTTTATTTTTTTAAATACAAATAATACAAAAATAATACACACACACACATTAAGAGTCTGAGGCTTGTGCTTCCTCAAAACTCCAATTTATTAAAGAAGCCATGTTGGCACATCTGGGAAAACCTGAATCTGAAAGTTTCCCGGTTTTCCCACCCAGTTGAAAGTTCATGATCTTGCCCCCAAACCCACAAGTCCATCACATGGTCCAATCTTCCTCTGCCATGCCTGGCAGTTCCACCCATCCAGTTCCGGTCAGATGCAGAGACAAAGATGACCTTGAGTTTCCAAAAAGAATGTTACTATGGCTACATATTACCCAACTCCGTGTAATTCCCCTTCCCATTTCCCCACAATAGAAAGTGGACAATAGAAAGAGTGGCAGGCCTGAAGTCCAAAAGAAAAGATGGCTTGCAGGCCTGACAACATATATATCTAAATACAAAAAGAAAAGAAAGAAAGAAAGAAAAAGGAAAAAAAACTAATATTACAGTGCATCCCCATCCCCCGGAGACCCTGTTTCCCCCCATTATATTTCTCCTTCTGTAACAACTAAAAAATATACAATATATTCTAATTATGCCCTTATCCCCACCAAAACAACATATATTCCTGAGTAGGTTTATTCCCTTTGCNTTTCCTTCTCTTCCTCCTTTCCTTTCCTTTCTTTTCCTTCCTCCTTCCCTTCCCTTTCCTTCCCTTCCCTCCTTTCCCTTCCTTTCCTTCTCTTCCTCCTTTCCTTTTCTTCCTTTTCTTCCTTTCCTTCCCTTCCTCCTTTTCTTTCCTTTCCTTTCTTTTCCTTCCCTTCCTCCTTCCCTTCCCTTCCGTCCTCCTTTCCTTTCTCTTCCTTCCCTTCCCTTCTTTCCTTTCCTTTTCTTTTCTTTTCTTTCCTTCCCTTCCCTTCCCTTCTTTCCCCAAAGTGCTCTTTCACGAGACAACTAGACTTTCTTGTTTTTCTCTGAAGACATTTCACTTCTCATCCAAAAAGCTTCTTCAGCTCTTCCTCAGTTGGATGAAAAGCGAAACGTCTTCAAAGATGGGAAAAAAACCCAGAAAGTCCAGTTGCCTCTAGAAAAAAAAAAAAAAGCACCTTTGGGGGCCTGGAGGACTAAGAATCTCCATAGACATTTGAAAGGATGCTTTGTTGATCCAAGTTTCTCCTCTTTCAGGGTTCGGACATTCCCCAAAGAATCCCACCTGGGCCACGACACGGTTCGCGCCCTGATGTACTACGCCTTGAAGGTGTGGAGTGACATCACACCCCTGAATTTCCACGAAGTGGCCGGCAACAATGCGGACATCCAGATTGACTTCTCCAAAACCGATCACAATGATGACTACCCCTTTGATGGCCCTGGGGGCACGGTAGCCCATGCGTTCTTCCCAGGAGAACATCATACTGCTGGAGACACTCACTTTGATGATGATGAATATTGGACCTTCCGGTCATCAGGTACGTGGGCCAGGAGAAGGACCAAGGACCACCCTCAAGGAGCAAAGTGTTTGAAACCATGGGATGGATGATTGAGGGAACTTGGGCACATCTAGTCTGATGAAGAGAAGGTCTAAGGGTGACATGATAGCAGTCTTCCAGTACTTGAGGGGCTGTCACAGTGAAGAAGGGGTTGATTTGTTCTCCAAAGTCATCTGGAGGCAGGACAAGAAGTAATGGATGGAAACTTAGGAGAGATCCAACCTAGAACTTAGGAGAAATTCCTGACAGTGAAAACAATCAATGGAAGAACTTGCCTTCAGAAGTTGTGGATGCTCCATCTCTGGAAGCTTTCAAGAAGAGATTGGACAGCTACTTGTCCAGAATAGCAATAGCACTTAGACTTACATACCACTTCACAGTGCTTTACTCTAAGCGGTTTACAGAGTCAGCCTCTTGCCCCCAACAATCTGGCTCCTCATTTTACCCNAGAAAAATAGGAACCACCTTTGGGGGGAAGGTAACAGCGTTCCGTGCCCCTTCAGCGTTGTGTCATGCTGGCCACAAGACCACAGAGACATCTTCGGACAATGCTGGCTCTTCGGCTTTGAAACAGCACCGCCCTCTAGAGTCGGGAACAACTAGTACATATGTGTAACCTTTACCTTTTCATATATGTATAAAAACTGAAAGCAGAAGGATCTAGGAATTAGGCTGAAGAGGCAGTGGGGGGAGGGGGAAATAGAAGGGGAAGTTTTCGCAGAATGGGTTGTGAGTTACTAAACCCTCTTAACTACCGTTCCCTTGCCACCGAGGTCTTTGGATCTGAACCTAGATCGTGTAGGGAAAGAGATCAATTTGGCCATTGGGCATGATTTATTTCCTCTCTAGGACTCTTAACATCAACGTGAGCCAGGGAGCTCTCTCTCCAGAGAGAATTTTGCACAATGAACAAGTTCTTCCATTGGCTTCTCTTGACCTCAGCAACACATCCAAATTCAGTGATGTGGCCAGAGCTCCCTCTACTGCCGCTTTGGAGAGTTGGTGGCGAGTTTGTGATGATAACGATCAAGAAGAGTGTAAGGAAAGCGTGGAGGAAGAAGCCCTCCCGAGAGGTCCTCAGGCTGCAGCTCCATCACTGGAGGTCTTCAAAAAAAGAAAATTGGATAGCCGTTTGTCCAAGATGCAAGATGCTCTCCTGCCTTAAGTTCTAGTCTAACTTAAGAGTTAGACTAGAAGACCTCCAAGGTCCCTTCCACTCCTAGGATTCCTTGCCGCTGTGTGCCTGAGCAGCATCCTAGGTTTTCCAAAAATCTTGCAGAAGGAAGGAGCCTCTTCTCCAACCACTGCTCCCCAAAGATGGTGGCTACAGCCACCCATTGATTTCTGGACCAGAACAAAGCCCAGAAGGCTGGTTGGTGTCCATAGCAGAAAGGGTGTAAACAAGGCAGCGGAGCGGAACTGAGGATCGCAGAGTGATTAGAGGAGAACAGAGAAGCTCTGGCTTCTTCTCAAGGCTCCACAGTGAAGATCAACAAGCTTGCCATGATCCCGTTGTGTTGAGCCCCTTCAGGTTCAGCGACTAAGCCACTAGTCACTGTAGGAACTGTGGTTGGTTAAGTGAACATGGAGTAAGGAGAAAGAGAGAGGAGGGAGGGCGGGAGGGCCTACTACCTGTTTGTTTCCCCCTCCTCCCTCCACCCTGCCTCTTTATCCTCCTTCTCCTTCCCCCTCCTCCTCCCTGCCTCTTTATCCTCCTCTTCCTCCTCCTTCCCCCTCTCTTTCTCCTCCGCTCCTTTTCCTCCTCCTTCTCCCTCCTCTTTTTCCTCCCCTCTTTATCCTCATCCTCACTTCCTTTTTTCTTCCTCCTCCTCTTCCTCCCTTCCTTTTTTCCTCCTCCTCCTCCTCCTCTTCCTCCTTCTTCCTCCTCCTTCCCCTTCCTCTTTCTCCTCCCCTCCTTTTCCTCCTCCTCCTCCCTTCCTTTTTTCCTCCTTCTCCTCCTTTTTCTCCTCTTCCTTCTCTTTCTCTTTCCCTCCTCTTCCTCCTCCTCCTCCTCCCTTCCTTTTCTCTTCCTCCTCCTCCCGCTCTTCCTTCCCTCCTCTTCTTCCTCCTCCTCCTCTTCCTCCTCCCCTCCTTCCCCCCTCCTTCTTTTACCATTCCAGGTGTCAGGAGAGCTGCAGAGTCCTGACTTGCTCTTCTGGAGGCCTCCACCATCGTTATATGATGGTATTATAGGCCATCTTTAATATCTTGTCCCTCCATCTTCTTCCATTTCTGCTTCACCTTCTTTGACCTGACTTTGTTTTCCCAATTTGTCATTTTCCCTGGAGTCAAGAATGGAAAGAAGGAAGAGCCCTCTGGCCTACTTCTCATGAGGACATTCTGAGTCCCCAAGCAGCAACTATGGGACTGCAAACCTGTACCAGCCTGGCCGCTCACTCAGCTGCATCCACCTCTGGACAGGTGTAAACCCATTGAGACCTGGTGGGGAGACGAAGCAAAGAAACTCCATCCTCCTTTGCCTGCTTCCTCTGAATTATTTCTTCTCCTGCTTCCGATTCCCCCGCCTGAATCTGGTCGGACATAAAAGAGGTTAAAAATGCAATCCATTAATAAAGCAGCGCCTGGAGCTAGGTCTTCTTTTATGGCTGCGGATGTTCAGTGGAGGATAAGAAGACCTTTGCAGGTGCCAAAAGCGGAAAGAAAATGCTTTACCTGCATGTGGAGATAATGAGCCATTTATGGGCTTCTGGGCGAGCAGCGAGAGTTTATTCGTTGACACTTTGAACTGACGAATTTCTCCACTTGGCTTCCTGCGAATGCGGACCTTGCCAAATCGGAAATGAATTTCGGTCCCTTGTGATGACTGGATGAAAAGCCACCAGCTTCCCAAAAAAATCAGCTGTTTTCCACCCCAGTTTTATCAGAAAGCTCGACCAGCAACTAGTGGACTCTGCTCTGTGTCATAGTCCGATAGATTGCTGTCTTTCAGCCTTCATCCTTAAAGGAGCCAGAAGGAAGGAAGGGAGGGAGGGAGGGAGGGAGGGAGGGAGATGGAGGAAGAGAGAGGGAGGGAGGGAGAGAGAGAGAGAGACAGGGGTAAGAAGGAAGGGGGGAGGGAGAAAGGAAAGAGAAAGGAAAGGAAAGAGAAAGAGGAGCGAGGGATGAAGGAAGGAAGGAGATTAAAGAAGGGAGAGAGAGAAGAAGGAAGGAGATGATGGAGGGTGGAAAGAAGGAGAGGAAGGGAAGAGAGGGAGGAAGGAGAAAGAAAGAAAGAGAGAGAAAGGAAGGAAGGAAGGAAGGAAGGTTGATTGATTCGCAGGATTTTTTAAAATAGCAATAGCAATAGCTGTTAGACTTATATACCGCTTCATAGGGCTTTCAGCCCTCTCT